TCTGTAACTAAGAAAACTGCATATATATATACAGCCACTGGTGCAGTAAAAGAATACATGGAAAGAAAACTTAATTAATTTAAAATTTGAATACATGTAAAAGAATACATGGAAAGAAAACTTAATTAATTTAAATTTTGAATACCTTTTTTACAGCCAACAATGGTTCTAGATCTACCAAACATATAATATACTCCGTTAAGGCTAATTATAGTGATTAATGACATCAAATGTAATTATTCTAGTAAAGGAAGGATTTTTAATGTAAGGTTGTGAGAATGATTCGAGTATTGACACATAAATAAGAAAACGTTACCTAATAGGACACACTATGTGTTTCTCTTTCATGTTAAGACACATTATGAATTTATAACACTTTTTGTGTACAGCTGTATTTTTTAAGACAAAAATGACCCTGATTTGAAGCAACTAGATTTACTTTTAAGTCAAAATATTTCGTTAACATTAACATTAAAGGGAAAGTAAGATGTTGTTGTCTTGCACAGATTTTATTATGTTTTCTGTGGAAGGTGAAGACGGGAGACTCGGTGATAATGAGGATAATAGTGGTCATGGACATTAAAGTTCTGTTTTATTGTTCACAACAATTCTGTAGAAATTCTGTTTTATCATGGATTTGATATTTTGTTGGTGTGATTCGCTTGTTTTCTTATTTTATGTTTGCTAAGGTTATGGTTCTTATGCAGATGGATAAGTCAGGCTTGATCATGTGTGGAGAGTGGGAAAGCTGGTGTCTATAGTGGACAAGTGTTTATGGACAAATGTTCAAGTGGTTATATGATGGACAAGTGTTTATGGTTAAATGTTTGTGGACACGAAAAATTGTAGACAGATTAAATATGAACATTATGTGTTTATGGACAAGCGTCAAGTTGGTATCTATGGTGGACAAGTGTTTATGGTCAAGTGTTTGTGGACACATGATATTGTAGACGAATCAGATATGAACATTACGTGTTGTGGATGGTAAAATTGTGGACACATGAATTTGAGGCCAAAGTAAAATTAACCAAAATTTAGAGGACTAAATTTTTTTTCGATCCTTCTTCTTGCCATATCTGGTTGATGACGACAGCGAGCATGTTGCAGTGTGAAGCAGAGCATGGTGGATTGAGGAGCAGTGAACGATGAGTCACAACAGAGAGAATTCAATCTTATAAAGACATGGCGGATATGAGATGATGAATGAAAGTTGGACATGTCGTGGTAGAGATCTAGTAAGTAAAAATCTCATCTTGCAAGTTGAAGATTCACGTTCTACCCACTATAAAAGACAAAATTAAACTTGAAGATACAGAAGTAGAACAAGGGAGATTCCGTTATTGATATTAGATTGCAGATAACAAGAGAAAGGTGTTCTGGATTGGATCTTGGAAAAGAGCAGAGGAGATACACCACCGCCTGGAAAGGTGTTCTGGATTGGATCTTGGAAAGGTGTTCTCGTCATCCACCACAGCCTTCCCCATAACCACCTCCTCCTCTCCTCTCCACCACTTCCACCGCAACCACCTCCACGACATCCACCTTCCGTCATCCACCACCGTCTTCCCCATAACCACCGCCTCCTATTCTCCTCTCTACCACTACCACTTCCACCGCAACCACCTCCACGACATCCACCTTCTCGTCATCCACCACCGCTTTCCCCATAACCACCATCTCCTCCTCCACCTCCACCGTAACAATCTCCATGGCATCCACCTTCTCGTCAACCACGACCGCCTTTCCCATAACTACCACCTCTTATGCTATGATATCCACTTCCACCACACGAACATCTTCATTGAGGTATCTACCTTCATGTTTTCCACCAACGCTTTCTCCATAGCCACCACCTCCTCCACTTCGATATTCACCACCTCTACCACAACCTCCATCTCATTATCACCATCTCTACTGCGATATCTACTGTTATTCTCAGAAGGTGTGGAGAGAATTATTTTGCGATGGATCATATACAACTGAAACAAAACATAAATCAAATAGTAGATCGAAAAGGATTAGGTTTTGTTGTGAAATTTTTTGGGTCAATTGATGTTTTAGAACTAAGAAAGAAAGATAATTGGATTTAAGAGATTAAAACGAGAGGAAATAAAGGTGGATCTCATATAATGAGGAAGGTGATGTTTGTGCTTTGTCTTTTAATTTTTGTAAGAAAATAAAAACAAAATAATATCAATTCGATGGAACAAAAGAGAAAGTGTAACTGTAGGGTATATTTGGTAAAGAACAGATAAAAAGTGTGTGAAATCATAAAGTGTCTTTTAGTGTTATTACAAACACAAAAAGTGTCTTCAGAAGTAATTGATTTCTCCATAAATAATGATATTTTGGTTAATCACACATGAATGTAAGGTTATTTTCTAATAATGTTCCTCACATAATAAAAAAGGGATAGAGGCCCAGAGAAGTCTTTTATTTTGTGCACAACCAAAGTTAATTTAATTATATTAAACCAGTACCAGTTCATAGATCCGGTTCACAGCAAACTCTGAAAGGTTTTTCTTTGCGACATAATCCTCAAAACATAGGAATTCTGGACGACAAAATCTAAAGGAAAAAAAATTGAAGGAATTAAATAAGAGATAGATATCAGATATGATGCCATGGAGGTGGGAGAAGGGATCCCTCTACAATTGCCATCACTATCTGCAAAGAATCTGATTCAAACACCACACATCTCATCTGACAGGCGATGGCGTGTTCCATCGCTGCACGTATTGCTAATCTTTCTGCCATGAGTGACAAGATCACAAACGCAATTGGTTGATTGTGAGAGCTGATTCGCTCTCTTTACTGTAAAAATTACATGCAAGTCCAGCTGCATGTAACTCTTTCTTCCAAGCCGCATCTGATTTGCAAATAACTTCAGGGCCTGATCCGTTCTGCTGGTGATTCGGTTTTTTGTGACAGGTAAAGCATGCTCTTGTGCTTCAAACCATTCTTTTGGCATCACATATGGCTTTTGTTACAGTTTCTTGAGCAGAGAAGGATCTGTTTTGAAACATTTTTTTATTGCTTGCTGTTCATATAGCCCAGATTATCCATGGGGCTAGAGGATATTTTCCAAGACTAGGAGGAGAAAGAACTACTGCAAATAAGAGCCTTTTCCACTCCATGTCGAAATTTTTCAGACTATTTTTACATCTATTCTTGACCATTTTTTACATGTATTCTTGACCATTTAATAGTATATCATTGTTACTCCTTTGAGGCTAATTCAGTTTATCACATTTCTTCTTCACCTTTAAATTTGAAACTCTAATCATCTCATATATTCCCATACCTGACTCATTTTTGAGGCTCAGAACAGCAAGGAATGGTGTGATGATGCTGATAAATAACTTGGTGATATGAAATCGACTAATACTTCAGAAATTTAATTATGCTGCATGAAAAGAGGACTGCCTCCCAAAATGTTGTTTTAGAACTTAAGAAGTTTATAACAAGCTTCTTTTAGGTTTTCAGAAATTTTCTGAATCATTGCTTCTTTTAGGTTTTCAGAAAAATCTTGACGATCGTAATCTGTTCGTCAATGGTTTTAATGACAATTTTTTGGTTGGTCTGGTGTTTGTAGACGACAAAGTAATTGCCAGAGCAATGAAAAAGCTACAAAACTGGCTAATGCATTTAAGAGGTTTGAAGTATTTTTGTGTTTGGAGGTTTCCCATTCCTCTGATGGTATTTCATTGTGTCAGTGTAAGTATCAACTTGAACTTTTATTCTCGACTCTGATGTTTGCTTGCTTTCTTCAAGTAACAATTTGGCTGATCTATTGACTATTGTGCTGCCAATTGTTACTTAGAAGAAGTTAGTTAGTCTTATTAGATTATGTTATCTCAAAAATCTTGATGTATGTACATATGAAGGGTGAGTAATTGTGAGTTGTACCATTCTGTTTAACCATAATTTTTTCAGTTTTGTTAGGTTTCTAATGAGTCAATTCTTACTGCTTTTAGAAAATATTTTTAAAATGGAAATAATTTTTATTAATATTTATGTGATGTCTTTTATGAAATATTATATTTTACTTGTTTTACAAATTTTAATTATTATTTTTTTAAGTTTACTTGATTCAGTTTAAGATCTCAATTTATATTCTGATAGAAATAATTCATTATCAATAAAACTAGGTGTTTTGCCCGCCATGCGGGCTTAAGCCTTTTATAATTATTTGTTAGTAAATATATTAATAATAAAAAATTAGAAACATAAATTATTATTTGTGTTTTCATTTTGAAATTTTATATTTATCTTAAAAATTATTCAATATTATCTTTTCAATTATATAAAATTAAGAATTTTAATTAATTAATATTTAATTATTTGTTTTCTGCTTTTGAATTTTTAAATATTTTATCAAAAGATAGTTTTCTGATAATAATACAATATATATAGGAATTATCTTTAAAAATAAAATATATTTTTAGATTTTGGATAACTCTTATTGTTATTATTTAAAATAATTTATCTAATTAAATAAATTTAAATTCGTTTTTATATTTAATTAATTCATATAATTTATTCATTAAGGGTATAAACGATATTAACCGTTCTAACTTTTAACGTGGAAGCTCCGTTGTATTCTGATAGAAATAATTCATTATCAATAAAATAGTACATACCAATTATTTTACTTCTTTTTTAACTTACAACACATATCAATATAAAACTAACTTCTTCTTTTTTATGTTGGTATTATGATAAGTAAATATATTAAGCATAATAATGTACGCATAGTAAACAATAATGTTCCATTTTGAGATCATATCTGAGTTTGCTACTCTTCTTGAATTTTAAGCTGAAAAAAAAAATTATGTTGAATTTTATGAAAATTCCATAACAGTGCAATAGCTAAAATTTTCTTAACAATTTAATATACTAATTTTTTGCGCACCAAAAATATACCAACTATCTTTTCCCCAATTTAGGTCACTAACTTTTAATTTCTTAGAATAATAAAAATTATTTATATGATATTAACTCCTAAATACCTTTTTGAACATGCTAAGATTAAAAACTAGATGATCATCCATTATTGTGAGTTGGGCCAAATCATCAACTCTTTCCGGTTCTTGCCACTTTCTTGTAGATTAGTAAACATTTGATTAAGTAAACAAATAATTAATATTACTAATAAGTAAATTATTTAACAGAATATTTACCTTAGAATTGATGTTTTCCTATCAAGCAGTTCTCTAGCTTCTCTCAGTTCAGTTAGCTTATCATCTTCTTGAAGCTTCATATTTATTATATAGATAAAGTAAAGCTATTATTTAAAAAAAAATGAAGTACAAGTTAAATACTCTGTTATTTTCAGTACCTGGGGCACTTCATCTCTGCAATAAATATTGCAAAATTAGATACAATCTGGTATGAATTTAGATATGTAATAATAATAAAAATCACGATCGTACCTTCTGGAAGAAAAATTACGATTTTCATTCTCCAACATCTTCATCAGCGTCTACAAATTTAGATGAATAAAAATAGAGAATTTAAGCTTAGTATTTCATAAAACTGGCAAATGAAAAATCAGATCTTTTCAGATAACTAGTTTGTAAATCAAACCTTTTCTGTGTAGGCTCTCCTAAATGCATACATACAAGAAAAATCATAGATATTAAATTAAGATAAAATCCAAAAAAATATATATGCTAATATACTTTTATATAATAATAGAAAAAAACCCGAAAGATCAACCTCTCTTCTCGTTCATCTTCTGACATACTGGAAAGCTTCTCCAAAATTCTACTAAGAGGTCTGCAATTTCATAGGCATATTTAAAAAAAAAATATTGATGATTTGAATCTACAATTGACGAAGTATTCAAAATAACAATTCTTAATTAATAAATAAATGATTTTATATTCCTTGCAACATAAGATATGGCATTGTATGTTTAATCCAATATTTAATATTTTGTTCAAACATGTTGTAGTTTTGGAAACAAAGTAAAAAAAAAAAGATCAGAAAGACCTAGAATGCGAATAGAAAAGAATAGGCTTGGAGGTGGGAGAAAAGACGAGGAGAACTATATCAGTATTGCACAGCACTGCCAATTCTTCGGCCTTTTTTAAAAACCCTTTCTTACGTTTTGAGAATTTGCTACTTTTCTCTTTTCGACATTCTATTGTCTTCAATTCTATTTTCTTCCTTCCCATTTTTTTCTGAGTTGTGGTTCTTCGTGAAATATCTTTATATTTATATGATTTTCTAAGAACTATATGAAGGAAGTTTATCTTGGATCATCAAAGTTGTGATAAGAAATCTTGATTAAATAATTATAGTTTAAATCTATCTTACTAAAGTTAAAATATCAATATCCTTAAAGTTAAAATATCAATATCCTTAAAATAAAATTTTAATTATATCTAATGCCACTTGAAGCTAACTAATCCTAAATTTTAACATTAATCTTAATAAAAATATCTTAAAAATATAATCCATTAATTTATATATGCTTAACATTAATGATGATTTCAAATGGTAATTTATCTTAATAAGAGTAAAAAAGTTAATTAATTTTATCCATAATTGATTGTATATATAAACATTAATACAAATAATATGTTGTGTTATTTCCGTAAATATGCTAATTGATTAGGGTGTGCATGAATTTTTACACATGACCAAAAAGCAAAGTGATCCTCTGTGCAAATTAAAACTAAGAATGAGCCTATTTGCCAATTTCAACTCAAAAGTGACATGTCTCTAAATTTTCGTAGATATATATTATCATTTGAATTGTTATGATATAAATCATTTTTACTTTTTTTTTTAATATTATCATTTTTCCTCTCCAAAAATCAGGATTCTGTTCTACAAAATTGAAATAAAGTAAGGAATTCAAATAATTATCTACTTATTGTATAACTAATAATTTTATATGCGCTAAAACTCTGATGATACAAAACAAACTTGAATATTGTATATAATTAGATATAATAAAATATAAAATAACATGAAATATAAATAATAATATAATGCTAATATTACAATATTTATGTACAAAAACATATATTGCATATTTTTGAAAGTTAAAACAAATAATCGTACGAGTGTACGGATCAAAATCTAGTTTTTAATTATTATTATACATACATCTTAGATTGGTTTCTCAGAAAATATTTTAGTTATGTTCATATCAATTTGTAATCTAGATTTAGTGTGATCAAATACATGCACCACAACAAAATGCATGTTAATTAATATGATCATGCACCAGATAACAAGATACACATAAATTAAACCTCTTTATAGATTTAAACTTTTTATACGCTCATAAATTATTGATCAGAATGAATCCCATTTTTGATAAAATAAATTTAATTTTAAGATTTCAACTCAATTTAATGTGTGACAGTAAATATGGCTAAACTAATCATAAATCTAAGATAAATTATCAGAATAACCTTTATTAAGAAAGCTTTAGTGGAAATAAAATCCATTTTAAAGTTTGATACACTAGACTAGATAGCTTAAATTAAAACCTCATAACACTTCTAATATCTCCTAATGATTTAAAATTGTAATTGTAGTTGGATCTTGATGTTAGGAGTTTTCAAGGCTCCTAAGACAAATGTTGTAGTATAAGAGATTGTCGAACCAATTCTAAGGGATTTTAAAGCACTGAGAATGCAAGTACTCACTTAATCTAAGTGCAATCGAATAAATGATGGTTTTAAACTATAACTAAGAATAAGAAAAGCGATAACTAAATAACTTCCTTGATTAAGAGAAAGGAGAACTCATGGGAGTAGGGATTAGATTTTGGGNATCTAAGTGCAATCGAATAAATGATGGTTTTAAACTATAACTAAGAATAAGAAAAGCGATAACTAAATAACTTCCTTGATTAAGAGAAAGGAGAACTCATGGGAGTAGGGATTAGATTTTGGGTGATCAAGTTTCGAACTAAGGATGGCAAATGATCAATCAAACTATCAACCTTAAGCCTAGACACAATTCTAAACAAGCTCTATGTCTAGATGAATGTTCATTTACTAAAACAACTCAAGCATCAAATGTCTTCGGTTGAATATTGTGAAAGCAATCATTAAGAATAAGTCTACTAGCCATCTTAACACCTTTAACAACAAGTGTCCCTGGTAAAGAATGTTAAAAGCTTAGGAGAGTTGACTCAGACATTTCATCGAACACTTTGTGAGTGGGAAATGTCTAGAGATCAACCTTTGAGTGGCTAACTCAAAAGAAGCATTAAAATTACTCTACTATCAAGGAACAAGAATGATCTACACTAAAACAACCTAGAACTAACCTAATCACTCTTAATCTCCCTAACCCATGAATTCAATGGTGATTTACTCACTAATCATCATGATTACTCTTAAACCTATGTTAGATTCAAGCTTAATCATGTAGATGATGAAATAGAAAAATAAAACAAAGGTTTTTCAATGGTTTCTCTTCAAGAACAAAGATCATCTGCCTGGGAGGCTACAAAGAGTACTTAAACTTAGGTTTTTCCAACTCAAAACATTAAAAACGAAATTGCAAAAAAGTCCTCAAAACAAGTATTTTTCATCCAAACATAGGCGCGCAGCGGGGTCACAACCCCGCTGCACAACCCCGCTGTGGGGCTTTCCATAAAGCCGAGCGGCCCCCCTGACTCCGTCCCGAGGGTCCGCTGTGGTCTGGGCCGACCCCCTGACCCCGCTGCCATGACCCCGCTCCAGGATGCTCGCCTCTAGTAAATTGGTCATAACTCCTTCATTACATCTTCAAACGACTTGAAACCACTTCCATTATAAAGCTAACTCAATTTGCTGTGTCTACACAAAATCTTAGCAACATAAGATTTCTTTAAATGCTCCATACATGCTCATCTTTCAGCCCCTTTTGGATCACAATGCTCCTAAACATCTCAAACCACTCCATGGCACATTCCAACACCTAATAAGGACAATGAATGCAAAATGCAACCTAGACGTGGCTAAATCCTAATATATATGATGAAAATACTCATGGATGAATGGGTAAAACGATGCAAATATGCAAGATATCAGATCTTTTGGCGCCACTGGAAGGTTAGAAACTTGCTTGTCTGTTGGGGCAGGAAGACATTAACTTGGCCATGCAGGATGTGAAAGAATGGCAATCAGCTCAAGCTACAGTAACTTATGTATCACGTTACACATCGGTGAGGCCCCCAACCTTACCATCTTTTGAGAATGAGAGCCTGGTTTGCTTTGTAGATGCAGCTTGGGATGCTACCCCGGAACTGTGGAATCGCAGGGGTCTTCAGAGGGCGGGAGCAGGAGAAGTATAAGGAGATAAAAGCCTTAAGAAGACATGATGATTCGGCACTGATTGCAGAAGCACTAGCGGTTCATAAAGCGGTTATGGAAGCCTTTGTATCAAATACAGAGTCTCTGCTAGTCTTCTCGGATTCACAAGTTATGGTGAAGTTATTGAAGGAAAAGGAAACAAGGACTGAGCTGAACAACATCCTCATTGATATCTACTACTTTAGCAGCCGTTTAAAGGTATGCTCGTTTTCTTACATTTCCTTTTTATGTATTGTTAAGGCTGACTTAGTGGTAAAGTCAGAGCTCGTTTCTGTAAACTTATCCTCCCCTTGTGGGGCTTAGACTTTTTCTTTAGCAATGAATTCATAGTTTGACAAAAAAAAATATTGACTTATTCTTGGATTCACTTATTTAATAATCAATTAAAATTTGTCAATCAATTAAAATTTGTCAACTCATATTCTATTTATTCAAAAAGATAAATTATAATCATAAATAACATCAAATACCAAAATTTGTTTTTGAGGTTGTTAACATCGTCAGCAAAATCCTAAATCCTAAATCCTAAATCTTTAATCTTAAATACTAAACCGTAAACGCTATCAACAAAACCATAAATCCTATACTCTAGAGTTTAGGATTTACTCAAGGGTTAAGGATTTACCCAAAGATATAGTGTTTATATAAGAGTTTAGGGTTTAGTGATTAGGATTTAGGGTTTAGGGTTTAGTTTTTTTTTAATGATTTTGGGTCAGCAAAATTATAGACCCGATACCCTAGTATTTATAGGATTTATAGGATTTGAGATTTATCCAAGGGTTTAGGATTATCCAAAGGTTTAGAGTTTAGTTTTTATTTATTTATTTAGGGTTTAGAGTTTTGCTGACAGCGCTAACATTTAAATTTTCTTTCTTACAGTTAATATTATGTTTATTTATTTTTTTACTTTTTACTTTAAAATATCATATATATTGTTAAATTTTTATTGACTATTATGTTAGAAGTGAACCTAGATATTCACCTAGAAGGTGAACTCAATAATAAATATTTAGATATTATTTCACGGAAATCACCTGATTAAATTTATAGTAAAATTAGCGAAATTATATATTTACTTGATCAGTTAATATTAACATTTAATTTATTTATATTATTTTGTAACAAATTGGCATGGGTTATTTTTGATATTTTTACGATTATTAATTTTTGCAGGTTATTTTATAAATCATGGAATATATTAATAAATACAAGATGCTTTCAAACAATACATTGAGTATGATATATTATATTTATATTTTTTTTAGTTTAACTAGATAATATTAAAGTAAAATAAAATTTTATATGGACATATGTTATTCCGTAATTTTTTAATCTAACTATATATATATATATATATTCAATTATTATTAAAATTAATTTAATAAATTTAAAATATGAATACATTAATTAACATTTTAGATTAATTTCAAAAATTTAAGACAACTAAAAAATATATCATTAATTATTATTATTGGTTTTGTAATAGTATAAACTGAAAATTATAACTATGATATAAATATATTCCAAGACAAACTCATTTTTAATTTAAAACTGACACTTGGTGTGTTAATACATTACAATAATTAAAATATTTCTGTAGTATCAAATATATTTACTATTAAAACATACATATCATCTTTAAATCTACTTTGAACAAATCACACTTTGAAAAATAAAAATGAATAATAAAATATTCAAAATCGATAGTTTTAGTGCGAAATAAATATTGGTAGCTTTTAAATCAATTAAAGATAAAAAAACAAAGAATTGAACTCAAAAACAAAAATCTTGCTAAGAAAAGGTTAAGGAGGATTCAAATTTTAGCTAAGTTATTTAGCTAAGGTAAATTTACA